GATCCCCCCCAAAAAAAGTCTTGCACCCCACAGCCAACATTTTTTACGGCTACTGGGGTTGGACCCAACCAAGTGAGTACATCTTCTATTATTTTATTCAATTTTAACAAAACAAACCCATCAGAGAGCTAGCAAAAACATTAGGTGTGACCAAATCAACTGTTTGGAACATCCTTAAAAAGAAAGAATGCACCGGTGAGCTAAGCAACACCAAAAGACCTGGAAGACCACGGAAAACAACTGTGGTGGATGACTGAAGAATTCTTTCCCTGGTGAAGAAAACACCCTTCACAACAGTTGGCCAGATCAAGAACACTCTCCAGGAGGTAGGTGTATATGTGTCAAAGTCAACAATCAAGAGAAGACTTCACCAGAGTAAATACAGAGGGTTCACCACAAGATGTAAACCATTGGTGAGCCTCAAAAACAGGAAGGCCAGATTAGAGTTTGCCAAACAACATCTAAAAAAGCCTTCACAGTTCTGGAACAACACCCTATGGACAGATGAGACCAAGATCAACTTGTACCAGAGTAATGGGAAGAGAAGAGTATGGAGAAGGAAAGGAACTGCTCATGATCCAAAGCATACCACCTCATCAGTGAAGCATGGTGGTGGTAGTGTCATGGTGTGGGCATGTATGGTTGCCAATGGAATTGGTTCTCTTGTATTTATTGATGATGTGACTGCTGACAAAAGCAGCAGGATGAATTCTGAAGTGTTTCGGGCAATATTATCTGCTCATATTCAGCCAAATGCTTCAGAATTCATTGGACGGTGCTTCACAGTGTAGATGGACAATGACCCAAAGCATACTGCAAAAGCAACCAAACAGTTTTTTAAGGGAAAGAAGTGGAATGTTATGCAATGGCCAAGTCAATCACCTGATCTGAATCCGATTGAGCATGCATTTCACTTGATGAAGACAAAACTGAAGGGAAAATGCCCCAAGAACAAGCAGGAACTGAAAACAGTTGCAGTAGAGGCCTGGCAGAGCATCACCAGGGATGAAACCCAGCATCTGGTGATGTCTATGCGTTCCAGACTTCAGACTGTAATTGACTGCAAAGGATTTGCAACCATGTATTAAAAAGTGAAAGTTTGATTTATGACTGTTAATCTGTCCCATTACTTTTGGTCCCTTAAAAAGTGGGAGGCACATATACAAACTGTTGTAATGCCTACACCGTTCACCTGATTTGGATGTAAATACCCTCAAATTAAAGCTGAAAGTCTGCAGTTAAAGCACATCTTGTTTGTTTCATTTCAAACCCATTGTGTTGGTGTATAGAGCCAAAAAGATTAGAATTGTGTCGATGTCCCAATATTTATGGACCTGTCTGTATGTCAGATATTCATTCTGTTTGTATTGCATATCCAAACCATACCCCAGTGATAAAGATTTTAGACCTATATCCAAAGGCCTAGATTGTACCGTTCAGGCGCTACATCTTGAGCTAAGTTATAGCTTCAAACACTGTAAGTGTATTATTTTTTCTCCATATTTGAAGCTTTTACACACTATACTAGATTTTGTTTTGTCCTATCACTCCACTATGTATCATCATGAACTTGAGGACCTCTCTAAGGCTAGTGGAAACTTGATTGTTTTCCTGCGTCAGAATTAATGGGAGCATTGCTTAGTGGAGGCTGTCGCTGGAAACATTAGCAAATCTACATAAAGACCTCAGTTATATGGCTATGTGGCGACCCCTCATTAGACAGAATCACAAATTGTTATGGAGTTATGTTATGGAATGTTATGGAATCTACATTGGAATGAAGATGTGAGTTGTTGTATCAAATAAGATGATAATATTGAACACAGTAGAGGTGGCTAGTAACACTTACTTTTAACATCTCCTTTAAGATTTTATAGCAAAAGGGTAATATGTTTGGTAGGCAATAATCGTATAAATAAAACAAGACCACACAATAACCACAGGCAATGTTTATTTGCTTTTCAAAGGACTTGGCCGTGGTGTTTATTCCAAGCTCAAAGGGCATACGACCATAACTTTGTAACCATAATCATATAACATATGGTTCACCAACTTTCAAAACTTTTTACTTTATTAACCACCAAATAGCCAGCCAGTCATAACTAACCTGACCGCGTTTTACTTAAAGGACCACTATAGGCACCCAGACCACTTCAGCTCAATGAAGTGGTCTGGGTGCCAGGTCTATCTAGGACTAACCCTTTCTGCTGTAAACATAGCAGTTTCAGAGAAACTGCTATGTTTACATATGGGTTAATCCAGCCTCTAGTGGCTGTCTCATTGGCAGCCGCTAGAGGCTTCCGTGCTTCTCACTGTGATTTTCACAGTGGGAAGATGCCAGCGTCCATAGGAAAGCATTGAGAATGCTTTCCTATGGACTGGCTGAATGTGCGCGCGGCTCTTGCCGATGACATCAGAAGAGGGAGAAGAGTCCCCAGCGTCGAGGGAGCCAAGCGCTGGAGAAAGGTGAGTGTTTAACACCCTTCCTCGCCCTTTAGTCCGGCGGTAGTGGGATCCTGAAGGTGGGGGCAACGAGTTTGTTTTCCTGGCACTATAGTGATCCTTTAAAACTTTCAACTTTATTATCCACCATATTTCCAGTCAGTTATAACTAACCTGGCCACCTTTTATTTAAAACCATTTACCACCATATCCTTCCTCAGAACTTGACCCTGAGGATGACTTTTGCCTCAGTGCTTCATAACACCATGACAATACAATTAACCCCTTCAGGACTGGACTGTTTTGGCCATGTTGTACGTTAAGAACCAGAGCTGTTTTAACACTTTTTTGGTGTTTGTGTTTAGCTGTAATTTTTCCTCTCTCTCATTTATGGTTCCCATACAAATTATATATATATTTTTTCAGGACAAAAAGGGCTTTCTTTACATACCATTATTTGTATCATGTCATATAATTTACTTTTAAAACAATAATAAAATATGGTGAAAAAGTGAAAAAAAATTTTTTTTTACTTTTACTTAAAAAATATTTTACTTACCTACGAAAGCTAATGAAAAAAACTGCTAAATAGCTTAAAAATTTTGTCCTGAGTTTAAAAAAACCCAGTGTTTACATGCTTTTTTTTTTGTTGCAAGTTATAGGGCTATAAGTACAAGTAGGAAATTGCTGTTTCAAAATATATATATTTAAAATGTATTAATAGTGACATTGTAATACTGTTATCTGCCATAAATCTCTGAATCACACCTCACATGTACATATTTTTTTAAAGTGGACAACCCAGGGTATTCAACATGGGGTATGTCCAGTCTTTTTAGTAGCCACTTAGTCACAAACACTGGCCAAAGTTAGCATTTATATTTGTTTGTGTGTGAAAATGGCAAAAAATGAAATTGAACGCTAATTTTGGCCAGTGTTTGTGACTAAGTGGCTATTAAAAAAGACTGAACATACCCCATTTGCAATACCTTGGGTTGTCTTCTTTTGCAAATTGTGTGCCATCATGGGGGTAATTCTCATGCCTGGGCTACCATACGCTCTCAAAGGCAACATAACCAACCTGGCAATTTTCAATGTAAAAATATTTGACCCTTATAGTTGACCCTGTAACTTTCAAAAACACTATAAAATCTGTACATTGGGGCTACTGTTCTACTCAGGAGACTTTGCTGAACCCAAATATTAGTGTTTCAAAACAGTAAAATGTATCACAACAATTATATCTTCGTTTGTGCGTGAAAAATGAAAAAAGAATCACTTTCACTGTCAATATCATCGCTGTGATATATTTTACTGTTTTGAAACTCTAATATTTGTGGTCAGCGAAGTCTCCGGAGTAAAACAGTAACCCCCACGTACAGGTTTTAGGGTGTCATAGAAAGTTACAGGTTTAAATACAGTCCTAGCAAATTAAATTCTCTGGACTTTCAGCCTGGGTTGTCAGGCAGGTATCTCAAATTGCAATCAATAAAATCACTTAATTATGTAAAAATGTTACATAAATACGCATGTAGAAATTAAATATATATGCATGTTTATATATTTGAAGTCTACGTGTATATTTATGAAATTATTTATGTAATTTTGTATATGGATATATATATATATATATATATATATATATATATTAATATTTTGATTTATTTATATATACAAAGATGTATATATAATTTCATTCTAAGTGTATTTTGATATAAATAGATTTTTTAATAAAATTTCACATATATATATATATAAAATTTCAATTTTTTTATTATTATTTTATGTTTTTTTAATTTATTTTAATTTACTTATTTGTATTTTATAATATATATATATATATATATATACAATATATATTATTATATATTAAATATGTATATGTGTAATTTAATTATAAGTGTATTTTTATATTAATATACCTATATATTAAAATAAAAATATACTTAGTATGACATTATATATATTTCCTGGCCATATCCATGGCAGCACAACAATGGGTAGCTCCTCCCCTATCCCTAGTTAGACAGGAACTAATTAAAATAAGGGTACAAATACCCCCTCCTACCTCCTCCTCCCTCAGTCTTTTTGTTCCTGTCCTATCCCTATAGGACCAAATTAGTCTATTTTCAGGACTATAACCACTTTTCTTTTATGGCTTACCTGAGGGTTTTTACCTTCTGTCCTCAAGGAAGTTCAGCCTCTCTTCCTTGGGAAGCTTCAGTATCTGGCCCTGTGCAAAGGTGTCCCCCTGAAGATACCCCCTTAGTGACCGGGGGTTTTACTTGCAGTGACCCTAGGGGTAGCAAGAGAAAAAATGCCAAATAACTCTGATTCCCTGCAGTGACCAAGAGGTAGCAGGAAGTGACAAGAAGACTTTATCCTGGATGGATTTCTACATATTGAAACAGCCCACATGTATGTATGTACAAATACTTTTTACCATATATATACTGTATTTGTTAAATCATATGTGTGGGTTTTTCCCCCCCCCTGCCTATTATTTCTGTGTACTTTTTCTTTCACGCCTTCTCGGCGTCCTGTTTGTCCGGGTGCGCATGCGCGCCGTTTCGCGCGTGCACGTTTGTATCGCGTGCACGCTAGCTTCATTCGCGTGCACGCCGGGTCCGCGCGCACGCTATACACTGCGCATGCGTCTGGTCCCCATGAGGCAGTTACAGTTCCTCCTACTCCGGAGTGGCTTCCGGGTTTGTGCCGCGCATGCGCAGTTAACGAGCGATGAATTCGCTCGTTTTGAGCATGCGCGGATAGGCGGTGACGTCAGATATGACGTCACACGCCTATTTAAGCGCCAAAGTTGGATTAAATTATTACCTGATGTCCTCATTAGGTCTTTAGAGGACCTGTTTTCTTACAGTTCTCAATTTGAATTGCGTTTATATTTTACTGGAAAATCTAAGAAGGTAAGCTTTACTTCTTAAAGGTATATACACATTTTTTCATTTCTTTACTCCTTTCTTTCTATAACAATAAGAATTCCTTTTTTAGACTGTTCATAATCAACTCCAAAATGGAAAAAGACAAAAGGAGATCAATTTCTTCTGATTCAGACTCTTCTGGATATAAAAATAGGTCACACTCTAAGAGTTATAGGTAAGCCATATCACATCATTTTTTTTTTTTTCCTTTACCGGGATATGATACATGAAATAAAAGAGTGCTAATATGAGATATTTCCCTATCATGATAGTTCTACGGGAAAGAAAACAGTGAGCTCATCCAAAGGAAAATCTCCAAAGAAAAATCAATGCGAAGCCTGTAATAATAAACCGCTGGAGGGCAAACGGTTATGTGCAGAATGTTTATCTGAAGCGGCTGGAACATCTAATCCTTCAATGGAATTTGTACAGTTCATAAAACAAGCGGTGGCTCAAGGTATCAAAGAAGCGGGGGCAAGTCACAAAAGACCCCGGTTACATGAACCTTCGGTTAATGATTCGTCAGATGAATCCATGGATATGGAATCATACCAGGGGAATTTCTTATCTTCAGATGAAGAAGAAACTCAGGCCCCTGCAGATTTTTTAGAACCTGCTCAGATAGACCACCTCATTTACAAAGTCCGTAAATCTTTGAGCTTGAAGGAGGCAGTTGCAGAGCAGTCAACCTCTTATCGTTATTTCTCAGACTTGAGAAAGAAAAGAGCTACCTTTCCAGTGCATGATACTATTAAGGAATTAATTAAAGACGAGTGGTCTAATACAGATAAGAAGCTTTCAGCACAAGGCAGAATATCTCGCCTCTATCCTTTTGACAAGTCTGATTCATACCATTGGGATAATGCCCCTAAGGTGGATGTGGCAGTAGTTCGACTCGCAAAACATACCACATTACCAGTAGATGATGCAGGCTCATTTAGACACCCAATGGACAAAAAGATGGATCTGCATCTCTCAAAAGCTTATGTAGCAGCAGGGACTGGTTTTCACCCTGCAATAGCCCTTACTTCAGTGTCCAGGGCCTTGAAAATTTGGATCGAAAACTTGGAAGAAGATATCAGAGATGGGAGTAACAGATCTTCTCTTCTGGAAAGATTAAATGATATTAAACTGGCCGTTGACTTTACCTCAGAATCCTCGGTGGACATGGTAAAGCTTTAGCAAGAAACATGGCTCTTTCAATTTCAGCTAGAAGAGCTTTATGGCTGAGATCCTGGTCCGCAGATTCATCATCAAAGTCTAGTCTATGCGCCCTTCCTTTTCATGGTGAGATGTTGTTTGGTAAAAATCTAGACGAGTGCATCAAAAGAGCTGCAGAAGGCAAAAAAGCCTTTCTCCCACAAGACCGGAAAACCCGTGGATCCTTTCGAGCCAGAAGATACTCTGAATACCCCTCTTTTCGTGATACCAGATCTTATAAACCAGGAAGAGAATATGGAAGATCTATTCCATGGAGAGGAGGTCATTCATCCAACAGAGGAGGAAAGTCTAGAGGTTCCTCATTTCACAAGAAGCCTTTATGACAAACCCACCTACCATTCTGGAGGAGTAGGTGCCCGTCTACTTCTATTCCAGAATATGTGGAAACATTCAACTCAAGATAGATGGGTGCTGGATATCATACAAAGAGGTTATCTTATAGAATTCTCCACAAGGCCGCCTCCTCGCTCCTTCCAGAAGACAATCTGGCCAAGAGATGTAGAAAAAAGAGATTCCCTAAAAAAGTTTATCTCATCCCTTCAAGACGATGGAGTTATCGTTCAAGTTCCAAGAGCTCAACGAACACATGGGTTTTACTCCCATATCTTTCTCACCAGAAAATCCACAGGGGGATGGAGACCAATATTAGACCTAAGCAGACTAAACAAGTTCCTAAACATAAGGAAATTCAAGATGGAGTCTCTTCAATCCATTGTAAAAGCAGTTTTTCCAGATCAATGGCTCATGTCAATAGACCTGGCAGACGCATATTTCCATATTCCCATAGCACCCCAGCATCAAAAATTCCTCAGATTCGCTGTAGAAGAGGGTCATTTTCAGTTCCGTGCTCTCCCTTTTGGGCTAAGCACTGCTCCGCGTACTTTCTCAAAAGTTCTGGTGGTTCTCATCGCAGAACTCAGGAAGAAAGGCATTGCAGTATATCATTACCTCGACGACATCTTGATTCTGGCAGAAAACAGAAATAGATTAGAAGATCACGGCCTGATATGTATACAGTATCTTCAACAACACGGATGGAAGATCAATTTTGCCAAAAGCAACCTAAAGCCATCCCATGATATATCTAGGAGCAGCATTCAACACTGCAGAAGGTTCCGTCCAACTGTCCCCAGAAAGGGGTATGAAAATTCGGAAAAAGGTCAAAGACATGTTAGCATCCAGTGTTTCATCAGCAGAGACAACTATGAGCCTCCTGGGATCAATGTCCTCCACCATAGGACTTACGAGATGGGCCCAATGGAGAATGAGGCCTTTCCAAAGGAATTTCCTTTCTCAATTCAAGGGCAATCTGTCTCAACCTATAGTGATCCCTCCTCACGTACAAGAATCCCTGAGGTGGTGGACCCAGAAAGAGTCTCTCTTCAGAGGTTATCCCTTAGGAAACATTCCATGGATCATCATCACCACAGATGCCAGTCAATGGGGCTGGGGAGCCCACCTTCAAGACAACTATGTTCAGGGGAAATGGGCATTTTCAACCTCCGACACCCCTTCAAATCTTCTAGAACTTCTGGCAGTTTTCAAGGCTCTAATGCACTTCCAGCAACTTTTACTTCACAAATGGGTCAAGATCAGGACAGACAATGCCACAGTTGTGGCATATATAAATCACCAAGGAGGGACAAGAAGTTGCAGAATGATGAAACTTATGAAACCTTTGATGGCCTGGGCTCAAATGAATTTGGAGAATATCTCTGCAATACATCTCCCAGGAACTCAGAACTCTGTGGCAGACTTTCTCAGCAGGGTGAGATTAGACCCGGGAGAATGGAGTCTATCAGACATAATATTTCTACAGATCGTAGAAAAATGGGGCCTTCCCCAGATAGATCTAATGGCTACAAGCAACAACAGAAAAGTCAAGAACTTCTTTTCGAGAATTCCAGATCCCCAGGCCATAGGAAGAGACGCATTGACATGCAGTTGGAACTTCGACCTGGCTTATGCCTTTCCTCCGAAACCCCTCATCTTCCCTCTGCTAAGGAGACTACGACAAGAGAAGACATCACTGATTCTAATAGCCCCTTTTTGGCCTCGCAGACCTTGGTTTCCGCTCCTACTAAGTCTGTGCAAGAAGGATCCATGGCGTCTTCCAGTTGTCCCATTCCTGTTACATCAGGGTCCAATTCATCATCCAAACCCAGCATCCCTTCGTCTGATGGCATGGTACTTGAAAGGGATGGGTTAAAGAACAAGGGATTTTCGAGATCAGTTATCGAGACACTTCTTCAAGCAAGGAAGAAGTCCACTTCATCCACTTACTACAGAATATGGGATGTATTTTCTTCATGGGCCAGTTCAAGGCTCTTTGATATGTTGAACCCTTCAACTACTGACATTCTTGATTTTTTACAATCAGGTCTAGAGAAGGGATTGAGTTATAACACTCTAAAAGTGCATGTTTCTGCCCTCTCTGCTTTAACTAATCATAGATGGGCACTGGATCCAGACATAGCTAGATTTCTGACTGCAGTCCTCAAGATCAAGCCACCCATTAAGTCTATTACTCCGCCATGGGATCTCCCTCTGGTCCTGAAGGCTCTTAAAGCAGATCCTTTTGAACCTATGGCATCAATTTCCTGTCATCTTCTCACGATCAAGACAGTTCTACTAGTAGCTCTAGCCTCTGGTAGAAGGGTTTCTGATCTTCAGGCTCTTTCGGCTCGAGAACCTTTTACTATATTTCATAAGGACAGAGTCGTCCTGAGAACGGTTCCAGAATTCCGCCCTAAGGTAACTTCAGAGTTCCATATGAATGAAGAAATAATCCTTCCAGCATTAAGTACAGAAGAATCTAATAACAGGGAAGACGCTGATGATGATGCTATCGACCTAGTAAGATGTCTTAAGATATATATACAAAGATCCTCAGAATGGCGTATTTCGGAAAGGCTTTTTGTTATTCCTAATGGCCCTAGGAAGGGTCTGCAAGCTTCGAAAGCCACTATCAGCAGATGGATAGTTTCGGCCATTATCCAATCTTATAGATCATCTAAAACTAGTGTTCCTGAAGGTTTGAAAGCTCATTCTACACGTTCCCTTTCTTCATCCTGGGCAGCTGCAGCAAAGGTTTCTACAGAACTGATTTGCAAAGCAGCCACTTGGTCATCTTCTAATACATTTATTAGACATTATCGTTTAGATGTAAGAGCTGGCCAATACGATGGATTTGGCAGATCAGTTCTTTCTGCCTCAAAGGATTAACTACTATTCTTTTTGTTCATCACATTGAATTGTTTGTGACAATACACTTGCATTATATAATATTGTGTCTGAGTTTTTCTTTCCCTCCCTTGGTTTTAGCTTGGGTATTACCCATTGTTGTGCTGCCATGGATATGGCCAGGAAAGAGATAAATTTACTCATACTTACCGTAATTTTCTTTTCCTGGTCATAGGCCATGGCAGCACAAAGGTCCCACCCAGGGATATTGCTGTTAACTAGACTGAGGGAGGAGGAGGTAGGAGGGGATATTTGTACCCTTATTTTAATTAGTTCCTGTCTAACTAGGGAAAGGGGAGGAGCTACCCATTGTTGTGCTGCCATGGCCTATGACCAGGAAAAGAAAATTACGGTAAGTATGAGTAAATTTATCTCTATATATACAATATATAGACATATATTATATAGATGTAATATATGTCTATATATATATATATATAAAATTATATTTTTTATTAACATTAACATTTTTATTTTTTTATTTTACACATTCAGGGAGACTGACTATCAGTACGGTCTGC